AGGCCACTGCTCTACCACTGAGCCAAACCAGCTAGGGCTATAATTCCCTTTTTCCTAGGTCATTTTCAGTCAATTTTGGTAGTTTTGTTTTGTTTTTACAGAAAACTCAGCTAAGCTTTAAAAGTGACACTGCCCTGGCCACATTGGCTCAGTAGAGCATTGGCCTGCTGACCTAAGGGTCAAGGGTTCAAACCCCGGTCAAGGGCAAGGTTGCAGGTTCCCCAGTGTGCTTGCCCACATGTGTGTGTGTGTGTTGGGGGGCGGGGGGGGGAAGCAACCAAACAATGTGTCACTCTCCCATTGATGTTTCTCTCTCTCTCTCTTCCCACCTCCCTCCACTCCCCCCTTCCACTCTTGCCAGAAATCAATGGAAAAATTATCCTTGGATGAGGATTTAAAATTTTTTTTAAAAAAGTAACACAAATTTATTCATAATATTCTCTTAGATTTTCTTAAGCTCTTCTGTTTTTGTAGTTATGGCTGCATTTTCTTTCCAGATATAGTTTGTGTCTTTTCCTTTCTCTTAAAAGTCAATTTTCTGGAGTTGAAACCTTAGCTTATTCATTTTTAGTATTTCTTGGGTTTTAATAAACAAATTAATGTCTATAAATTTACTTGAATATATTCCTTACAAGTCACATTCCATTAGGTCTGATAACATATCTGCTCTCCTTCAGTTCTAAATATTTCATAACTTCCATTGTGATTTTCTTATTTATCCATGAGTTATTTGGGAGAGTAAGTTCTCAAACAGCCTTTTTTTTTAAAAAAAAAATTATTTCAGAGAGGAAGGGAGAGGGAGAGAGAGATTGAAACATCAGTGATGAGAGAGAATCAATTGGCTGCCTCCTGCACGCCCCCTACTGGGGATTGAACCCACAACCCAAGCACGTGCCCCTGACTGAAATCAAACCTTGGACCCTTCAGTCCGCAGGCAGACACTCTATCCACTGAGCCAAACTGGCCAGGGCCAGCCTTATTTTAGAAATTGAATTATACTTGACATACAATATTATGTTAGTTTCAGGTTAGTATTTTTATACACCATGATAAATCTAGCTATCAAGTGTAACAATAATATTGTTATTACAATATTATTGACTGTAGGGGGTGTGAGGAGGCAGCTGATCGATGTTTCTCTCTCATCGATGTTTCTAACTCTCTATCCCTCTCCCTTCCTCTCTGTAAAAAAATCAATAAAAATATATTAAAAAAAGAAATAAATAAAAATTGAATTATACTTGACATACAATATTATGTTAGTTTCAGGTTAGTATTTTTATACACCATGATAAATCTAGCTATCAAGTGTAACAATAATATTGTTATTACAATATTATTGACTATATTCCCTACAGTGCATGTACAATAAATTCCTGTGACTTATTTATTTTATAGCTGGAAGTTTGTACC